TATCAAAATAATTTAAAAATTAATATATATAACCTATATAAATAGAATTTTAATTTATTTGTTAATTTTTAAAAATATTAATTAAAAAAATAATTTTTTAAATATATTTATTTAAAAAATTAAGAGAACCGAACATGTAAAATATTTTTTTATTAAAAAATTCTCTTGTTTTTGTTTTGAAAGAGATTAAGCAACGTCGTTTCACGTGTCCACCAGTAGACTATAGTTCTATATAATGGGCCCCCAACCCAAAGCCTTCAACGACCGGACTGAGTCCCAAATAGACTAACGGACAAAACTCACCGTTACCGGGAGCAGCCCGTGAAGATTTTCTTTCTCCCTCGAGTATATTATACACAGAGTCCCTAGCCTTATAAAATTGATTCCTTCTGGTACCCTACCTCTTAATTCTACATTTGGGGCCTGTTTGGTTGCTGCAAATCTTAAAAACGTTGCGTATCATATTGTTCTTGCCTGCACATATCCTTGATTATGCTAGTTTTAACTTTCTTTGGAAGTTTTTTTTGGGAGTTTTACTGGAAAAACAAAATTTCATGAAAATAGAGGCATTAGTTGATTAATTTTCTAGTTTTAAAATTTCTAAATAACAAGTTCAATTGCATAAAAATGATAATTATTTTTTATACTATTAGTTTTACCTTCTATCATATTAAAGTAATTAGTAGATTATATCACTAATAGAAAATATATTCACTCACAAATATTCATTTTTCTATACTATTATTATTATATTAAAAAAGTGTTTTCAAATTGGATTGCACATTAAAAATGTAATTTGACTATTACAATTATTAAAATACTCTTAATAAAACTTTTTTTTATGTTTATTCATCAAGGATGACTTATTAATTTGAATATTAATATTGTACTTTTAATGTATAATTTGAATTGAAATACATGCAACTCTTATTATATCACACTTTTATTTTTTTTTTTATCATGATTGACTCAATTGAAATAATTAAAAAAAGTTATTCATCATTTTTACATTCGAGCTATAGTTCTATTTTCTAAAAAAAATTCTATTTAAATTGATGAAAAGAATAAAGGGTGAGATAATTTTAGTAAATTTCTATCACTTCAAACTTCAAAGAAAAGAGGTTGGTGACTCAGATGCGACAATTGAAAGAAAAGAACCTAATTGTACTAGAGCTATAAAGTTGGGGAGCGCTCTTTTGTTAGCCCTTCTAAATTAATACCATGGGCAAATATGTAATATCACCCACCTTTCAGTTCAGTTCCTAACAGAACAAAATTGACCTCCCTCCCTCCCTCTCTTGCTTTCTCCCTCCTTTCTCACTGTGAGGTTCTACTTTTCTTAAAACCCGTCACGGCGACCCCTCCCCCTGTCCGGCATGGAAGATTCGGAGGTAAGATCGCCGGATTGCCTCTTTCTTCCGGCTTTTGTCGACCGAATCCTCTGTCTGTAACTTTAATTTTTGAAATGTGTTATTCTTGTTTCTTGATTGATGATGTAGAAAACGATGGCGTTGAAGAAGGCGTACGCGGAGATAATACTGAACACGGCGAAGGAGGCGGCGGTGAGAGTTATGGTATCGGAAAAGAAAGCGGCCCGGTTTCATCAGGATCTGAGTGCTACCAAGGACGAGGCGGTTCGATTGCTAGTCCGCTGGAAGCAGATGATGGATGCTAAGGTAAATTTTATGTTTTACGGATTTCTTTTTTGAAATTTTCGTAGCACGCATCAAAAGAAACGTTTTGATCTTTGAATTTTTTGTAGGCTGAACTCTGAAGAGAAAAATGAGATTTTGATTTTATTATTATTATTATTATTTGGTGTCGTTACTGCTCAATGCTTTCTGCAATTGGATGGATAAGGTTCAATATTTTTTTGGATTATGGAAATGAATTAGGTTTGTTGAAAGGAGCAATGAGGAATAGGAGAACAATGGAGATCTATTTTCATGACCTTGAAGCTCTTGCATTATTGGAAACTGTTGCATTTAATTTGAGTTCTTTGATATGGTGTCTCAACAAGTTAAAACTAGTGCCATACAATGATATGAGTGTTAATAAGCTTGAATAGGAGTTGAATCATCTCACTTGATGAATCCCTCACAAATTCATATAAATATGTTTATGTTGCTATTATGTTGGTGTGTGGATGCTGCTGCTCTTGCTTTTTACAGTGGAAATTGGTGCAATTTTCTCACTCAAAAGCCAGGGAAGGGCTTGCCAAATGCCAGCCATGGTTATGATGTAATCTTTTAGGATTTGAATTGGGCAACATTAAAATAAGTAACAAAAAGTTCGCATGCCTTTACATTGTTGGCTCTGCATCTCAAGGGGAATTTTTTTGTAGAGAATAAATCATTTGTGTGGTTATAGTAAGGTCTTATATGGTTTTAGTTTGTTTAATTTCTTTTTAGTTGCTTCCAGCCTTGTATATAATTTTGCTTTCATATTCATCCTAAAGTTCCAAATTCTAAGCAAAGCTATTTAAATTTTACACAGGATTAATATTTTAAAGAAAATTTGGCATTTCACTTTTCCTCATATGCAGTATTTACCAGTGTTCCCTCCTTTACAGACAATTGAAGCAGAGAAAACATCCCTCAATCAGCAGAAAAAGATTGATGAGCTTGAAGCCCAGCTCCATGAGGCAGAGGATATCATAACAGATCTGAGAACAGAGTTGAGATATGTGCAGGATAAATTGGAAAAAGTGAAGAAAAATGAAAATGAAATGCGGCCTTTGAACGTACAAATCACAGCTGAGGATGAATCTCCTCGGATAGATTCAATGCCTGTACCCGTTACTCATTCTCCTTTAAATTTGGGATTTGTAACCACAACAAATTCTGATTTGAGGAATGACACATTGGATCAGAAATATTTGGATGATAAATGCTGCAATGCATTAAAACAAGATGAACAATCATATATTTCCCCTCTGGAGAGCCATTTTGCACACAATTCTGACATAACCACAATGCTTATGAGAGGCAAGGAGCCTGAGCTGTATAAAAATGGATGTACACAGAGAATCCGTGCCCTTGAAAGAAAGTTTCTTGATGAAAGATTGCTTCCCCCTGGAGGTGTAGAGGATCCCCATTCAGTCTTAGAGAATGAATTGATCATGGAAACCAGTGCTGAGTATGATGAAAAATGTCTGATATCCTCTCCTAAGTCCAAGAGCATGAGGACAGCAAACTTTTCTAGGGAAGAGGTAAAGAAACCTGTCAAAAGCTGCATTGCAAGAAGAAGAAAGACTCGATTTGGTAGAGCCAAATCTAGATCACGCAGGTCTCGTGCTGGTCAGCTCATCAAACCTTCTCCATCTTCTGTTCTATCCCATTCCAGAAGGTATCCTAGCAACAGAAGTGTTAAATCTGATGAATGTTTACAGACTGTATCATCTATTAAGGATGACCATATGGATTTATCAGGATCAGAAGAGGAGTTGGAGCATAAAAGCAACTGCTGTAAAGATGAAAGTGAATTGATTCAGAATGGGAACGGATGCTTGAAACTGGAAAGTAGGGACACAATTGCTACCTCATTCAAGTCTCATCTATGTCGGTTTGATGAAACATGTTGCAAAACTACTACAAATTCAGTATCCTTTAATGTTAATTCTGGTGACAATCAATTGAGGATAGCCAATAATGAGGCCAAGATAAAGCCCTTGCCTAATTTGGATCCTGGCTTGACACTATTTAAAAGTGATATGGATCCTATATCAGGGTCCAAAAATATCACTATGAGTAGTGTCAAGGCACTAAATAAGTGTGGACTTGTCCAGAATATAGCAGATAAGGACATGAAACTCAGAGATGAGCCCATGTTGCATATGCAAGAAGGTGATACTAGGGTGATTTCAAAGCTTCCATCTTCTGAATTGAGTTCAGATCTGATTGGTGTACCATTGACATATTCTAATTTGAAAGACACCAAGGCATCAGAAGAAACTGATGCATCTCCTATTAAGGTGGCCAATGATAGGCTTCTTAAATACACCTTCCAGAGGAAGCGCAAGAAGGAATCTTTTAGTGACTCTGATGAAAAGACTTCTGCTGAAAACATCAGTTTGAAGAAGAGAGCAGGTGAGAGACAAAAAAATGCACAAGAGACAGAGAAGCCCAGCTTAATGAATGAAATGACTAGGGATAGTCGACGAATGGCTCAGGTTGCTCGTCAGGTTGGTTCCCTTGTATGTTCAACTTGTTTTCTGAAATTTTATTTAAATCAAGATAATTAGTCCCCACTTATTTGAATCAAGATGACTAGCCTCCACTTGTTTTCTGGAATATCTAGCAAATGCATTTTAAGGTCAGTGTCTAAGGATGGTAGACACATTATTCTGTGATTTATTGTGTCTGCCTCAATGATTAGGGTTGATAATGCTTTCCATAATCAATAATAAATTTCTGACATTTACATTCTCATTAAGTATTAAAGAAGAAAAACGAAAAATAAAATAGTGAATTTTGTACTTTACAATTATAAGCATATCCTCAATGTGATATTACTATGATAATCTTGGTTGTCTAGACTGGTTAAAGCTTATCACGTGCACCATCTCAGTGATGTTTCCTGATCAATTTCTTTCCTTTTGTACAGCTTATTTCTCTGTCTGGGAAAAGATGGTCATGAAGGAGGTGAATCTTGCCTTGTTCTGACGAGAATCCAGATGGGCCGGCTGATGTAAACAACTTGAGGAATGCTCATTTATTGAAACCAACTAAACGGGTAGCTTTTAAGGATAAGAATCCAGCTAGTAAATTGAGATGACTAATGAGTGGATTTGTGGTTATTCTTACATCATCAAAATTTATTTCTCCATATATATTGCTTTTTTCTGAATATGGTCCCCTTGTCATCTTCTTGGTTGTCTTCTGCATGGGATAATATTCTATCTAATAGTTTGCCTCATTTACTAAAATCTTCAGAGTTATTAATATGCTGTTCTGAATCATTTGAATTCTAGTGATTGACCTCAAGGGGCTTAGGCATCAAATTTTCTTTTACAGTGTTATGTTAAAGTTCATAGCTGGGTACAGTTGCCTTTGAAACGTACTGGCTTTCAAACGCTGCTCATGTTTGGATGATTAAGGAATAGTCATTATCACCTCCCCACAAGGTATATAATTTTATTATGTTTTCTTCTCAACCAAACAGAACCTATATGCTACCCTGAACTTTGTGGTTAAAAACTGCTAAGAAAATGCTTAGCTGATTTCATTTTTTTTGAAAAAAAATAAAACAATCTATGGAGAGTAGTAATTGTTTCTTGTTTAAAAAGAATTTTTTTTTTTCCTTAAAAGCTACCACTCTGGGTCTCTGTTGCATTATTATGTCCCCTAAATAAACATAGGTCCTTTTTATTTTTCTTAAGCTTTGTTTAGCAATGTTGTGTTATGTTGCACTGTACTATTATCATAAGTTTTTTTTTTGTCTTTTATTATCTTAAGAATAAATAAAATATTAATAAAAATGTATAAAAATATATAAAAATATATAAAAAATAAATTTATATTTTTAAATAAGATGTTGTATAAGAAAGATCTATAAGAGCCTTAATAAAATTCTCATAGGTAACATATGTTTTGGGGGGGGTGAAAATAATAACTTTTTTACGCCTTTTCAAGTGTTGAGTAATCGGTTATGTGGGGTCATTTTCTGATGATATGGTCTGAGGCAAACGTGCTTTGGGACCTTTACATTTCATGCATTCAATTGTTACTTTCATTAACCGGCAAAAAGTCTGATGACATTTCTCTTTTTCATTCTGCCTTTTTGGCTTGTGTTTAAAGGCATGCGCAAGCTTTTCACTTTCTTAGTAAGAAGGGGAGATTCATTCCTCCTCTCTTCCGGAAATTTGAAATTATGTTACTGTTTCCTAAAAAAATCCTCTAGTGGCCTCGCACATGTGAAATCTGGATGCGGGTGTGCCACTTACTTTGCTAAAAATAAGAAAAGAAGACTTTCCCAATGACTCTCTCCTTTCTCACGATCAACTTCTTTGCAGATGGCGGGAAGAACGTTGGATTAAAATTGAAATTGTGCCTTCAGACAATTTGCAAGAGGGAGGGATACCTTTTTGCAGGTTGGGTTACGAAATCTGCCTTAGACAAGTTCAAAGACTTAAATACTACCGTGACTTAAAATTATTAAATCTTAATTATTTTAAATTACCTGCAATTTAAAATAAACTTGCGAGAAAGAAATGTACCCAAATTAAATTAAACATGCTTATGGTAAAATTAAAATGCTATCTATTGACAAATTTGGAAGTTAAATTGCTGCAGAACTGGAAATTTAACCCTAATTAGCACTAAAATTAAACATGAACAGTGAATAAATTGAAGAACTTGAAGTTGGAAAGAAGCATGAAAGCCACATAAGTAATCATTGAAGCAATGCTACTTAAAATAAACACTAAATTAACTACAAACAAAGAATAAACAGTACCTAGAAGAAACTTGAAATGTTGAAATTCATTGCATGAAGTGAAACTGATGTAGCAAGTACATAAATTAAATTGCCTACTGAAATGATGAAGAACACCCTAATTCTACTGGAATCTGTGTTGAAATCCGAAATCTAAAAGCAGATTGCAGGAAAATAAAAGTATGAAAATTTGCAGATGTTTGAGTAGGGCTAGCCCTGTGTTCCTCCTTCCAAAATTTCCTTTTTGTTCTTCTTGTGCCGGCAGTAACTTCCATTTTCTGCAGTTACTCAATCATGGGTGGTTTCTTGAAGTAATGGGACACCTCACCTTTTGACTTAGTCTAATCCCCTTACAGATTTCGCCACATGTACTCTTATCAGATAAAACCCCTTTTTTAACTGCAATCTTCTCTTATTTTCCAACTCCCATTATCCCTTTCTGTATCAAGAAGATAATTACTCCATAAAAAAACTATCTTTACCTCTCTTATTTTGCCAACACAAGTGCTGGTCTGTCATGAGGCTCAGAATTTGAATCTAACATGGCTCAAGCTCCTCCAACCAATAAAAAATATTTTACATGTAGCATTAATTTAAAATTTTGCAATTTATGGTGTAAACAGTTACTCTTTAAATTCCCCATATTTTCTTTGTTCAGTTTACAGTTTACACCCCATGATTAGCATAATTGGTGGTGCTGTAGAGCAAGAAGCATCATGCTTATCAGCTCTCCAATCCTCATGGACATGCCATCATGCCATCAATTATTTCTCCTCTATCTTTATTCTCTTAAGGCAGCCCAACTTTCATGCCAAACATAGTGCTAAAGAAATTGTTGTAAAAACTAAGCTAAATGAGTACTAAACACAAATTAAACATCTAATAAATGAATTAATGAGACATTAGTCTAGTGATTAAGGACCTACCGAAACCATCAAAAGTCTCATCCGAATTTCTCATTTCAGATATCAATGTTATCTTTTTTGTAACCTACAAATAAAAAGGTAAACCTCGAACTCATAATCTAATCCATTAACTACATATAGAATCTTCTTTTAATAAGATCCTAAAATTAATTAGTTCTTCAAAAATGGACAGAATCAGCAGCCGAAAGCTGCATGAGTTGGGTTGCGCACCATTGCCCATTGGTGTCCACGCCAAGTTCAAACAACACACAAACTTACATGAGTAAATCCATGGTAGCAGCAATCATATACCACACCTTTTTACTGCAGCTTGAAGAATGTGTCTTTTCTTGTCTGCCACAGGAGCTGCACTCTCATCAGTCATTCCTGTTATTATCACAGCCCTTCCTTTTCCCCTCTCTGATCATCACAACGGTCTCCACTGGAGGCAATTCTGAAAATAAACCAAAACTTAAGAGTGATTTTCATTCTCCATTTTGTATATAAACCCTACTAAGAACCCTCCTCAAACATGTGTTTTGAAAAGCCCAAGTTTTTTTGAGAGAGATGGAGAAGAGAGAAGGAGAAGAAGGGAATGTGAGCACAGCTCTGTTCACTGCAGGTACAGTTTTGCTAGTGGTGGGTTTAAAACGAGTTAAAATGCTGTTTTTGCTGTTTGAGCAATGGCGTTGGTGGGTCTTCCTTGTCTTAAACCTCTTGCTTTTAGCCATTTTCTTCACCTCCATGAACTCATCTTTGAGCAAAAACCCAGAGAGCAAAAAAATTGATGAAGAAATGAATGTGGAAAGGAAGAAGAAGAAGAAGAAGCAATCTCATGGATTTTCTGAAGCTGAAACTTGCCATGAAGATTTCAAGTTAATTGAGAAGAGAAGCCAAGAAAAAGAGCAGAGTGAAGAAGAGAAAGCAGAGGATGTTGAAGATTGCGGGGAGCAAGGGAAGTTGTCCAAGGAGGAGTTGAATGAGAGGGTGGAAGCTTTCATTGCTTCATTTAGGCAACATTTATTTTTGGATTCAAGAAGAGGCAGAGAGCCAAAACAGAGTGATGGCTTCAACTTTCCAAGGGGGTCTAACCCTTGCCTGATTCTTCCAACTCAAGAAGGAGTCAAGTGTTTTGTTTTTCAAAGTTGAGGGCTAATTTGTGACATTTTCGGATCAAATTCAGTGAATGTGCAATTTTTTATTGAATTTTTTT